GTGTGTGTGTGTGTGTGTGTGTGTGTGTGTGTGTGTGTGTGTGTGTGTGTGTACACGCGACTATGCGCCACCGGCTAAACTACCCCTGGCTGGTGCCTAAACCTGGTTCCTCCCCTTTTATTATGGGCCGCGACGGTTATTGGATTGTACCATGCTATTTGTTGGCTGCCACGCTAATGGATCCATAATCACCGGGACGAATTAACGCGCTACAACGACGCTAACGGGCCACTACTTTAAATACAGAAACGTCAGCTGCACGCCACTTGTTTCACATGGACACTTAAACGATTGCCATAAAAGCGAATTTTTAGGTTGTTTTTACGCTTGGAAATTTCGATTTCTATACGTCCATTAAATGAAAATGTTAAACAATATAACGATTTATTTTTACTTTGTATGTTAACTTTTGGCTGTCACTATGAGTATGGCATACTCGACAATTCCTTTTACTTTATATGCTACAATTTTTTATTAATAAAAATACACATTACGTTTATTAATATTTGGCGTTTTGATTAAAAAATATTTTTTATAATATGTGTTATTTTTATGCGATATTTTTACACAATACCTAGAGTGTTGCTAACGTGACAAAATATATAGTGTGACAGTAAAAGGTTAATGTCATATATGTAAGCTTTATATTTATTGATTTCAAGAAAGAGGAGAGATGTCTTGAAAACATTCAAGATATAGTTTCAAATATTCATATATATTTTATCATTATTTGTTCAAAAATTATAACGTTAGGTAATAATATACCGTGCAGATATTCTTGTTCGAGTCGATAATTAAATACATTTTTGGGATTTCATACGATCCGTTGCAACAAACAGAATATTTTTTTACCACATTCGAGAATCTCTCATCCTCTTCTCGTAATTATTTAACTGAGCACTTTTCATATTCGATACACCGAATTAAGAGAGCCGATAGCGAAAGAGGTGGTCTTTAGATCCACGTGTGTTCCACGGTCGGACTCCCCAAGGATTAAGGACTAAGCCCTAATCCGCTAATTTCATTCTACCTTTCCGCATCGAGAGTCTCTACATCTATTACCCTTCGGACGTACTTGGCTAAGTTTCCGAGTATTCTCTTCCCTCCCCCTCCACGCGTTTCAGCTTTTAAACTTACTCTTCCCAGACGCGCGCGCCGTGCGATCAACGGGAGCTCTTCAGAATCCTCCCCCCCTTCCCCTCCCCCCGGTCATAAACGCTTTCTGATCTTTACTGCGGCGCGGTTGGATCTTTCGATATATATATATATATATATA